CGGGCCGGGTGGCCCGAACCGGTCAACCAACCAGTTCACCGGGCCGGTTGGCCCGGCCCGAGTCCACTCCTATCAGAGATGCTCCAACTCTGATGGAGGTATTCTGGTCGCGCACCAGAACTGCTCCAAGCCATTACGGAAGTTAATGCCCAACGTTCTTATTTTTTTTAATGCCGCGTTAAATGGACAGTTTATGGTCGATTCAATGCCCAACGGACTGGTCATTGATGTCCAACGTTCAGGTCCATTAACGCTCCATTTAACACACAACAAATCCTCCTATATATAGCTGGCAGGTGCTTTGCAACAAACACACGTTCTTACACGTTCACAAGCAATCCTACACGTATTTCAGCTCGGAAAACACCTCCAGCTCTATGAAAAAATCTCTTCAGTGTTCTTCTTTGTTCCCGTTCGCCGGATCTTTCGTTTGTGTGTTCAAACGTTAGTTCGTTAGCCACCGTATCCTGGGAAACGGTCGTTGCAACGATCCTAGCATCGTGGGAGGCGATGAATACGTTTTAAGGACATCGTGCGTAGCACGAGCTCCGGCTAAAATTTGTTCCATCTATTTTCTATTTTCTTTGGTCATTTTAATTAATTAATTTTTATTAATTATTTTTTTTTTGTATTTTGAAACACATCCAACAATTATAACGACTATATATATGAAAGTAAAGATAAAAATAGCTAGGTATAACCAATGCTGAGTTAGAAATAGCGACATTTTTATTCCAATTATGTATGGATTTTGCTCCTCTCTATTAACTCGAAATGTCCAGTAGGAGAGAGATAGAGAGAAGTGGGAAATGGTGAGATAGGGAAAAAGAAAAGTTTATGTTTAATTATTATTTTTAAGGAGAGAGAGTGAAGAAGAAATGAAAAGAGTAAATGGAGAGAAGTAAATGGAGAGGAGTATGACCCATTATGTATGTGTGTTTATTAGTATGACCTTGCTTTAAAAAAACCTTAGCAATTATCCAACTGAAACTTCGCACAAAAAAATAGTTATACTATAGTGGATACTTCAAATAATTTCATTTTATGAGTACTTTTGTTAATGTCGACTAATGAATTTGGAGACCCCAGTTCTAAATGTAAAATCGGGACCCCACATTAATATAAAAAGTTTAAAAAATCTCAATCGAAATACTTAGGGAGTGTTTGTGATTGTTTCTACTTTAAAAGTGATTTTGAAAAAAGTGATTTTTAGGAGGTGTTTGAATCTAATTTTTAAAACTACTTCCGCTTCTTCAAGGAGCACAAACAGAAGTTGGAGTGTTTGAGTGAAAGTAAAGAAGTACTTCTGGTGCTTTAATTTGCTCCTAGAAGCAGTTTTTTTAAATCACGAGATTGGCAGGGATTTGGCAGGGATTTTGGTAGGGAAATGCCAAATCCGTGCCAAAAACACTTTGGCACGAGCTATTTGGCACGAAAGATCGGTAAGTTTGTGCCAAATTCCGTCACAATCCCGTAACTTTTTTGTAGTGGGACCAGCTTCTAAAAACCGATTCTGATTCTGATTCTACTTTAGAAAAGAAGCAGAAGCAGAATCAGTTCCAAAAACCACCTTAATAGTAAAAGTTGGTAGTGTTTGATAAAAAAGTGCTTCTGAAAAAGTAAAAACTGCAACTGTTTGATAAAATAAGTGTTTTTGGTGTAATAGAAAAAGTGAAAAGCAGTCAGAGAGTGTTCGCGACCGCATATACTTTAAAAAGTGATTTTTTAAAGTGATTTTGGAGAAAGTACTTAATAGTAAAAGTTATTAGTGTTTGAGAAAAAGGTGATTCTGAAAAAGTAAAAGTTGGTAATACTCATAACACATGTGAGATGAGTGTTTTCATGTGACAACTCCTAATTACTCGAGTGACTAGAATGTGAGAGGATCAAGGAGAAAATAGATTCAAAGAAGCTTGCACAGCCGCCAAAACAAATGGAGATGCCTTTTCAATCAAGAAACAATGCACTTTTTTTTAATACCTGACTAGGAATTACGGTTGCACTGTTCAAAATGTAATAATTCATTCGGGTTGCTCAAGTCTACCCTTCAAAGGGCTGTTTATGTAATTTCTCTACTAAAGGACTCTTGCCAAGAATATGGGCGGGAACTCTTTTGAAAAAATAGTGTTTTAAGGGATTTTGCATTTCAGGAAGTAGTAGATTCTTTTCACAACTTTCATGTATAAACAACTTCGGTACAAAAAAACGTAGGATGGTTGCTACTAGATTGTAGGGGTGGGAAAAACCGAACCGAAACCTGGAAATTGACCCTAGCCCGGCCCGAATGATATTCCTGGTCTGGGTATTTTTATTTAACCGACCCGAATTAAAAAAATCGGACCGAACCCGAAAATTTGGGCTCATAAGCGGGCCCTAAAATATATAACCCGTTCCGAACCGATAAAAACCCGAAAGAATTAGCTTTAATATAAACTCAATATATTATACAAATATAATATATTAATAATTCCTAATATATGATTATAATCATGGTGGATGAAACCATGACCTAGTAACTTTTTGTGACTAAAAATAAGTTCAATTTGTTTACCGTAATGACCATGGAAATATATTTATTATACGTAGTAGTAAATTTATTAGTCACTTTTTTATCCATAAGTTTTATTCCGTAATATTTTTAGAAAACATATATATGCGAAGTATTATTTATTTATATGCATCTTAAACAAAATATTAAGATAATTATCTTCTTTGGATTTGATTTGTTGGTGATTTTGGAGACTAATATTTGTGTTATTATTTGCGGCTTTTGTTTTTGACTAGTTTTATTAAAAAATATGTTTTAAAATATAAAAGGGAAAAATAATTAAAATACCCCAAACTTTGAAGGAGTGTGAGATAAACACCGCAAACTTTTATATGTAATTTAAATACCCCAAACATTATATGAAAAGTTATTTTAACACCATGGTCATGTATGATATCTTTCAAAACTGTAAATTTATGGTGTTAATTGCATAATTTAAAATAGCAAATTGAAAATGTTGCAATTAAATAGAGTGGGGGGTAATACTATTTATTTTACAATTGAAGTTTAGAATGTTAATTATATCACCATGAATGCTAAAATATGTTAAATTATGAAATTAACACAAAAAATTAGCATTTGGAAATAAATCATACATGACAATGGTACTAAAATAATTTTTATATAAAGTTTGAGGGATTTAAATTACATATGCAAGTTTGGGATGCTTACCTCACACCCCTTCAAAGTTTGATATTTTTTAATTACTTTTCCCAATATAAAAAGACAATGATATGATTCCACATTCGGGCTTTAACCGGCCCAACCCGAACCGGGACCGAACCCGGTCTATAAAAAACCCGACTCGGACCGAATACAATGGGCTTTCTTCATGTCTTTAATTTTCATAACCCGAGAACTTCCGGGTAATTTTTGGGTTTAGCAAAAACCCAACCCAGACCTGACCGATCCCACCCCTACTAGATTGCGTAGCTACTAGACTATTCTTGCTTCTCATCGGTGGTGTTTGGTTAATGGTCTATCAGCCATTTTTTGGCTGTTTTGACCTCGATTTGGCTTTTTGACCAAATGAATCCGATGATAGGAGTGTTTGGTTACATGGCTTTTTTATTTAACTTGTTATCTAAATAGCCAAAATTCAAAAAGCCACTAAACTTATATACGAGTCTTCCGATACAACTCACATATACAAGTCATTTCGTAATCTACCCAAGTATCCATACGTTCTCTTCTGATAATTCAACTCATATATATAAGTCCCCGTCAATTCATCAAATTGGTAATGGATTGCTGCTAAATTTGTTTTTCTTTTTTGCTTTTTATTCTAATTCATACTAAAATTGGGTTTTGCTGCTATTTATTCCAATGACTCCTACTGATATTGGGTTTTGTTAATATATTAAAAATAATGTGTAAAAAATTGTTGCTTCTGATAATTTTTTTTAGTGTTTGTAAATCATAAAAATGGTTATGACCTAGTCATGCAAACACGGTTTTTTTTAAAGAAAGAGATTTATAATATATTTTTAATGCAAATAACATTAACAAAATTTATAATGCGTATGTAAAAGTAGTTAGTCATCAAAAATTAATTGATGTTCTTAAAAGTCATTTAAAAGGTTATCAGCTAATTATAAACAGTCATCTAACCAAACACCATTTTACAAACTGCTAATACTAGCAGCTGATCGAAACAGCCAACACAACCCGCTATTATCAATCAGCCAACACAATCGACCAACTGCCAACCGCCATTTGCCAAACACCCCCATTATAGTCAAGGGGTGTAGGGCACTATGCTTCCTTAATTATCAAGGTTAAGCATGTAATAATTTCTAAACATACTCAGTATTTGCTATTGCTTCATCCTTGATCAAAAAAAGGTGGAATCTCCCACCGCTGGAGCCCCCCCACACCCCGACCTGACAGAGCACGTGAAAGGATGTAAATCACGGTGATTCGGTCAGTAAAGTGGCAGTAGATTCATGTACCCGTGCGTGTCAGAGGTCCAACCTATTTCAGAGGTTGTAACCTCCACACGGTCGCTCTGGGATTCAAACATTGGTTTCTTGATCCAAATTTCCTACCACTCAACCAACCGAGCTACCCATGCGGGTTCTATTGCTTCATCCGATTTAGACTCTTTGGGACTCCAAAGTCTAGCTGTCTACGTTGAATTGAATGATCCGTATATTTGTTCTCCAAATAAACATATGTAAACTAGTTTACCACCTCTCCCGAGTAAAATACTTAAATGGTACAACGTAAAGTGTTTTAAAAAAATGTCCTACAATTTATGTTAAATAGTGAAAAAAACAGTGTAAAACAAAGTAATTACTTTAGATCATAAGAAAAGATCCTAAGGTAAGTTACATTTTCCATCCACCGGAATTACATTTTTTGAAAGGCTAATTGCATCCGCGGGTGAAACAAAGTGTTACTGTTAGAGTATTTAACTCTTGTTTGAAGTCTGAGAGTACTATTCTATCCATTCTCACTTTACTCAGCCGTCGAACTACTCTCGAAAGTAAAGAAAGTCACGGGAGCAAGATGCCCACCATCTCGATTATCAGCCGTTGAATCCAAAATATCAGATTTGGGGCGGGTGCCAACCCAACCCGAGAACCCATCTGTTTTTCCTTCCAGTACCATCCACGCCTGCAGATCCAAGCCATCTGCAAAGCCCTCCCAACCGGCGCGGAGCAAATGTCCGGTCAACTGCGCACCATCTACCTCTTCCTCTATAATTCTGTTCAGGCCATTGGATGGTAATAATCCTTCTTTGTGCTCCTCTCTTTCTGGACCTTCACACTTCATCAACATTTTCAGCTAACTCTCTCTGTACATATTTCAATATGCAGGGCAGTTTCACTTTGGAGAATCTCCATCAGCTTCGCTTCCAAAAAGTCTGTCAATGGGGCCTACGCTTCTGCTGGAGAGCTAATATGTAAATCCATATTTTTCATTTCCCCCCTGTGGTTCCTAGACAGTATATGTCATTCTATTTGATTAATATTGTTCTTCATAGGTTTTCTGCAAAGTCTGGCATTCTTGGAAGTCTTGCATGGCGCTCTAGGTATGTTCTGGTCATGGTTTCTCAGTTTCTAGCTTTCTGTTCTCAGGACCTTTATAAAAAATGTCAATTTAGGACCGGAATAGGAAAGGATTAAAATTATCGATACAAGATTTGAAAAAATCACTCATTGAGATTCTTTTAATTTGTTTACATCATTAACTTGAATCAACCCACAAAAAATCACTTGTTGAAAAAACCTATCTTCAGGTTAACTTGAATCAACCCACAAAAATAAAAAGATATTGGCCACTATATAAGGTCTTGAGTTGCTCCTGGTATCTTTGTTGACTCTTTAGAAGAGAAATTCGAAATATAATACAAGGCAAAATGGTGTTCGCTGAATTATCAAATGTGACCCAGGTTGTATTTAATAATTTGTGTTTGAGGTTGAAGGGATTGTTCCTAGTGGAGTTCTACTACCATTGATGCAATGGGGTGGAAGAATTCATTTCCTACTAGCTCTCGTTCGCTCCATCAATGAGGTTTTCAGTTACCTCTTATATTATCACTTCTCAATACCTTAATCAATCCATATTTCCATGATGGTATTATCTTTTTGCATATAGTTTAAATATGCGGTATGATTTATTTGTTGATATATTTTTCCACTTATTAGTTCCACGCCTATTTCTTGCTTTAGGTCCAAGAACTGCCAGCAGTTTTCATAACTTTTTTAGCTTGGAGCTTATCTGAAGTAAGTCGCTTACTCTCTTACACAATCACATTGATCTCTAATTAATTGTTCTACTATGCCTATTTTGGGGTTGTCTGATGCAGGTTATAAGATATTCACATTATGCCTTGAATTGCATTAGCACGCCACCTTATTGGGTCACCTTCATCAGGTTTGATCATCTAGAGCCCATTTGGTAGGATTATTTGGCTGGTATGGTTGAATTTGTCAATTTTCTGAACAAGAAAACATTTTTTAAACCTCCATTTCAGCCAAATAAGTAATTCAAAGGCCACTTATTTATTCTCTCTGCTATAAGCATCATAAGAATCTTTTGGCTACCAAACGCCCTCTTCATACATTAGAAGAATAGGAGTGTTGATTTCTCACCAGAACTTCTTTATCCTTTTGAGATAGGTACACTGCTTTTATCGTACTGTATCCAATTGGAATTGCTCCCGGTGAAAGTAAGTACTAATTGAGCTTTTAGAAATTTAGACCATCTCTATAAAAATATGCTAATTATGTTGACAATCCAATTTCATTTTTCTAAACGAGCTTACATTATGTTGTGCTGTAGTGTGGCTCATGTACCAAGCACTTCCAGTTATAAAAGAGAAAAAGTTGTATACAGATCGCCTCCCTTTCAGCTATTATAACTTTGTTGTGGTATATACATTGCCCCCTTTCCTTCTGCCTCATTATGCTAAGGAAGTTCTTATTTTGTGGTTTTGACTGTCTTAGTCTTTTTTGAATCTGGGAAATGGTAGGGAGAGGATTAAAGCTGTTCAAGGAAAGTAATACTTTTGGGAAATTTCTACCATCATTTTTGTGACACTTTCATTTCTCAAATGTGACCCCATGGTATTCACTTATCTTAGAATAAGTGTAAAATAACCATCATTGTAAGAATCATTTTTCGGAGAGGGTCAGTATGAGAAACATTATACCACTAAGGCTGACTTAAAGTAAATCCCTCCTTTATGTTTGGTTTTGATCTTTTGAAATGCGAAAGAAAGCAAACAGCCCCTTGAAGGCTATCAAGCACTAGTTATTTAATTCCAGTATATTTAATGCAAACTGGAAGAGAATGTTACTGCCGCAAGGCCCGCAACTGATGTTTGTTGGTTATGTCAGGACATCTCAAGATACGTAAAGCTACATCATTTTCATTTTCATTTACCCCAGTGCCGCAAAGGCTCCCACCTACGGTGGGGTAAGGGGGGTCGGATGTACGTAGTCTTATCCCTGTACTAAAGCACAGAAAGATTGTTTCCGGATGACCCATAGTGAAAATCGTGTCCAAAATTGCATGGACTGACTGCTGCTGCATAACAAAGAAGCACAGACAGTTTAGTGAGTCATTTTGCTTTATTCCATCATAAACTCAAGCCAAAAAATAATGAATCTTTGGCTCCATTGCAAATGATGGAAAAATACGTGAAGCTACATGCAACCACTTATTTGTTTATTATTTGCCATGCCAATTCAATTATTTCATTTCAAGTTTGTTTTTTTGAGTTTTTTTTTCAAAAATATTATTGACATAAAACTTATTTACAAAAATATGACTAATAGTTACTCGGTACTTCCATACTACTCCGTGTGCCATGATCACTTAACTGTAAAAGTTAAACTTATTTACTTGTTTTATTGAATGCAGGTGCTGCTTCTCTTGTATCCACTTTTATGGCTAAAACTGTACCTTCACTTGTTTAAGCAACGAAGATCGAAATTGGGTAAACACCAGAAGATAAAAAGAGGTTGAATTCTAAGCTGCATAGTTGTTGTCCGATTTAAGTTCTTCACTTGTGTATTAATGTGTAGGTATGAAAACCGAATGTAACCTAAGCTGCGTTTTTAATAAAAAATGTAACATTACCTTGTTACCCGCACGGATAGCTCAGTTGGTCGAGTGGTGGGAGATTTGGATCAATGGATCAAGGTTCGAATCCCCGCAGCGACCGGGTGGAGGTCACAGAACCTGAAATAAGGCTGAGTCTCTGGTGCGCACGGGTGTATGAGCGTACTGCCATTCTTCTGACTGAGTCACCGTGACTAACCTCCCCACCATCTTGTCGGGTCGGGGTGGGAGATTCCCTTTTTTTTGGATCAATGTAACATTACCTTGTTTACCAGTCTAAGTCTAATGACTTCATGACTATCTTGGTCTTATAGAAAACCAACAAATTTAGTGATTTGTTGGTCTCATAACAACGTGCGTAACTTTATAAGAAATGACATGTCAAACAATATTCTAATGTTGGTCTTATAGAAAACCAATGTGCAACTAGCCATGGACCCGGGCCGGGCTTGCTCGGGCTTTTTTGGGATTCTTGAGGTCCGGAACCGGCCCAGGTAGCTACCGGGTCCGGGTCGGATTGGGTCGGCCTGGTTACCTTTTTTTATTATTTTCTAATTACTTCCTACCCCTTCCACACCCCAAATCTGTCCAAAACACCCAGCTCAACCCATTTTTTTGAGGCTCGGAGCCTGCCCTGAAACAGTACAAGGCATGGACTCGGGTACTGGGCCTGGTTGAAACAATATCGGGCTGGGCCGATTACAGGTCGATTGACCTAGCCTGAGTTCATCCCTATGTGCAACTAACGAGTTCAGATAGGGGTGGACTCGGGCCGAGCCAATCGGCCCAGAATCGGACTGGCCCGCCACTGTGCGGGCCTGGACCGGCCCGGTGAACCGGTTGGTTGACCGGTTTGGGCCACCCGGCCCGGTGGATTCTCGGTTTGGGCTCGGGCCCTTCAAAAGGTGAACCGGCCCGGCCGGTTCGGACCCGGGCCGGGCCAAATTTATTTATTTATTTTTTGATTTTTTTTTTGAGTTTTTGGGTTGGGCTGGGTATTTTGGGCCATTTGAGGTGGTTAGAGTTGGTTTGGGGGTGAGGGGGAGGGGTGGGGATTAACTAGGAAAAGCCAAAAAAAAAATATACTCGAGGTCCGGCCCGGACCCGGGGGTTACCCGGGTGGGTTCTGGGCCTCCCATACCTTGAACCGAGGCCCGGCCGATTCAAGGTCCGAACCGGGCCCGGCCCAAACCGAGTCCATCCCTGAGTTCAGACTTCAGAGTGCATAAGTTGTTGTGTAAGCAAAAAAAAACGGAATATTTAGTCATTTGTTTTGTACATGGCATCGCACGAAATGGGTAACTCTTTCTAGTTTCTACAACATATAGATCATCCTAATAAGAGAGCCTAGTCAACTGATGAGTATCATCAACATCTAGTGGCGGAGCTAGGATATTGGGTTGGATTGGGCTGATACAAAAAGTATTTAAAAAAATTACACAGAACTTTTTATCTTAAAAATTAAATCATTTTTTAAATTTGAGGTGGACCAGACGTAGATTTATCCTCCCCTAGCTCGGCTCATGTCAACATCATAATCTAATAAAAAAGCAAACTAATAAGAATACAGTAGATAGGCCCTTCCCTAGTTCATGTTATCCTAAAGGAAATTTGGAAGACATGCCCCCGGCCAAATTTTAGTCGTACAAATAGCATCCAACCACGTGTTATTTTAGTCGTACAAATAGCTATGTGTTGGTACGCTCATAATAATCCTAACTATCGATTATTTCAGAATAATCCTAACTTTAGAGATTTTTCGCCAATAATGGTCCGACGTGATCGATTATAAATAAAGTCCTATAGTTTATAAAGAGATATAGCAGGTAATCCCTATAAATAATCCTAAATTTTAATTTTTACGCTTAATTTCTATTAAAAATTCACTTGTTAGAGCAGGTAGTATGCGGTCATGGACCATTATTGGCGGACGGTCCATATAGTTGGGATTATACAAAAATAATCAATGGTTGAGGTTATTGTTAGCGGACCTGCAATAGTTGAGATTATTATTTTCAATTTTTCTTATAATTTATAGCAACCAAAGCGATAGTTCAATAATATCATCATTAGCAATTGAGTTAATTATCAAAATAGGACTAAAAGTCATTCATTTTTCACAAATAGGACCAAAAAATAAACTATGTTTGCATAGGACTAATTATGTGTACCTTGGACAATTATACCCTTATAGCTATTAAAATGTTTTAATTCCTAATAAAATAATAAAAAAAATAATTCATAAAAAATACTAAAAAATTAAGAAAAACATTTCGATATTAAAATTTCAATTAATTTTTTTTTTCAAAAAATTAAAAAAATTAAAAAAAAATTAAAAAAAAAATAAAAACTCAAAAAAAAAATCGCCGCCGCCTCTGCCGCTTCAGCACCACCACATCCAGTCACCAGGGGAAAAAAATGCCAAGTTCATTACGAATGACATATTTATGACAGAAAAAAATGAAAATGTTGACATTCGAAAAGAGAAATATGCCACTTTTTTGGCATTTTCAGAAATAAATGGCATTTTTCTGGAGAAATGACATTTTTTTCATCGGCCGGAGGTGGTGGTGCTGGGAGGTAGTACAGGCGGTGGGAAAGGCATCCATATTTTTTTAATTTTTTTTACGGAGTTTTACTATTTTTTATTAATTTTTTTTAAAATAAAATTATTTAAAAAAAAAGTTTTTGAATTTTTTATTTTATAAAAATTTTATAAATTTTTTAATTATATTTCTACGAATTTTTGAATTTTTTTCGAATTTATTATGAATTAAACATTTAATTATGGCTTTTGACTATTTTTAATTCATATTTAATGGAAGGGTAAGAATGGAATGCAAAAATAGGTATGTTTCCAATAGGACTCATATGGTCCTATTTTAGAATAAAAACATAACAAGTCCTATTTTAGGTTTTTGCCATAGTTTTAGTCCTATTTGAACTAATTTCTACTTAGCAATTTTGTGAGCATAGATGATCACCAAACTGACTTAGAAATACATACTTCAATAGTCTATGCTATTGTATTGTATATCACCAATTTGAAGTATTATATACACAAATTTAACATTCACACCACAGCAAGACAACAATAAGCAACACTTCAATAGTCCTTGAAAACAATATCCTGCTGTTATTCACTACTTAGTTAGTTAGTTCATTAAAGCAATTAGGAAACCAGTTCACACACCTCCTACGGCTTAAATTCAAGCTGAAACGGTATATAACGGGTTTTAAAGCAACATGCTTAAGTTTTTAAAAACATTGTAAAACAAAGCATCAACTCACACATTCATTTGTTATTCCTAACTGATACGGAGTAATTTACATATTTAGTCTATTCAAAAGTTCGTAGCATTTGCAATCTATTCAAGTTAGAGTATTTTATATTGCATTTACATCGTCCTAAAAACCAGGAAGCATAAAACACATACTCCTACTTCAATAAAATTGATAAATCAAATAAGTAGAATAATGTGGTTGACGTTTGAATATAATAAAGTGAAATGATGTGAATCACATGTTTCTTTCTAAGAAAAGAAATAAAACACTTATTTAAGGACAATTCAAAAAGGAAAGTAAGACAAGTAAAATAGGATGGAAGGTAAAAGAGTAGTAGTGCGTACGGAGAAATAGGAACAAATTAATTACTACGGCTTGATGCGACCTTTTACAACAACTTATGGATAAATTGCTGATATTAGGTATATCTTTTTGTGAAATAAATGTTCATATTTTACTCTCTCAGTCTCATAAAATTTGGTTAAATTTAACCAAGATTGATTTGCACGTAGAATAATAAAATAAAACTATATTCTTGGCATTTGTGCAAAGGTTAGAGAAACAAATATAATCACATAGGAGTATTTATTACTTTAATTGAATATAACACTTTTTCGAGATAGCTAAAAAGGAAGTTTGGCAAAATTTTATGAGGAGGAAATAATAATTAATATTATAATATTAAAAAAAGGTTTGGTGTACACATTGGGTTACACCTTGGTGTACACCCTATAAAACCATACCAAAATTATCATTTCTATTATCCCTTCCTATCTCTTCCATACGAAAATCTCCGCCTTAGTTTCTTTCTTCTTTCTTCTTCATAACTTCCATCTTTTATCTTCATCACCTCTCCCATCTTCACCATTCTTCATTTTATCACCTCTAATCATCATTTCCATTTTATTGATCTTCTTTATTCATCATCTTTCATCTTCATCACCTTCCATTTTCACTATATCTACTTGTGTCATATTTAATCTTATTTACTTCACCATCACCGGAGTTGGAGTCGCCGGAAACATAACCGGAGTTGGTGTCACCGGAATTGTTGCCGTAATTATTGTTTGTTCCTTAGTAAAATATTGTCCGTGTCTTCCAATATTTTGACAAAATTTGTTTTTCTGAGCTAATTAAATTGAATAAAATTGTAAGTGTCTGTTAACATGCCTGCGCAAAAATAAATAAAATGTATACAAACATTTTTTGTCTGCACACAAACAGCTAATGTCTGTGTATAGACATTAGTTTCCGTGTAAATCACATTGATTTGTGTGTGCTTTTGCAGAAATGTCAGTGTTAGGTTGCATGGAAACCAATATATATACAGACACTAGTTGTTTGTATACAGACAAAAAAGTGTTTGTGCACATATTTTTTGTCTATGTGCAGGCATGTTTATAGAAATTTACAATTTTTTCAATTTAATTTGTTTACATAGACAAATGTTGATAAAAAGTGTCTATACACTTTTCATCTTTGTACACAGGCATTAGTTTATGTGCATGCAACCTAACCTTGACTTGGTTTATGTGCATGAAATCGTAACTCTGAGTTCTATACAATATTTTGTCTATGTACACACACACTGAAAGCAAACCAGTGTCTGTATACACATGCATTTTTTGTTTGTGGTGAGATTTTACAAAATGTTACTTACTTTTCAACTTTTGCTCTGCATATAAGTTATATTATTATTCAACATACACAGACAATATTTTATATAGCACACAAACAAAAATTCCGACGACATTCATTTTTAAATTTGCGGTGACTATTCATTTTTAAATTTGCGGTGACTTTCAGTGCTCTTAAGCACATTTTTTTGTGCACATGCAAAAATAAAAATGATGATGGAAGATGTTGGTGAAGAAAGGAGAAAATGATAGATGAAAGAAGAAAGAGGAAACAAGAAATAAAAAGTACAAAAGAATATGGAATGGTTTATGATGGAGTATATGGGTCTGAGCCCCAGGACCCACATACTCAGAACAGAAAGCATAAGACACTGAGTGGTGCCCTCGTCGGCCAAGGGACCCCCGTCGGCCGGAAAGGTACCAACTCAGGATATGGTCCTGAATCTAAGGAAATCGGGTGCCCTCGTCGGCCGCGCCCTCGTCGGCCACGCTCTCGTCGGCCACAAAGACCTCACAGAACCGGATTTTACACTTACTCATTTGTACAGTCCATTAGTGGCTTTGTATTCGGCCCAGTAGCGGTCCAGTTGTAAATGGGCCTCCCAAGCCCAAGGCTTGGGAGCCCAGCCCGTATTTTCCCTATAAATACTATCTCTGGAGGTAGTTATCAGGGTTACAAAATCATTCTATTGAAGCATATTATTGCACTTCTCTCTCTAGCTCTCACTTCTCTCTAGATATACTCTATCATTTGGTGCTCTCGTTGAGAGCTAGAACAATCAAGTTAGCACCCTTCGTCGCTACCAAGCACAGCTAACCACTGATCATGGGAAGAACTAAATCAAACCGCAACCTCGTCAGCAAGGCCATCCCTGAGGACCAAGAGGCCAGGGAACACGAGGAGGATGCTACGGCCGACCAGGTCGGCAGAGGGGACGTCTTCCTGGAGGCCATCAACCTCACGACGGACCTCCGCAACCAACTCAACGGCGGAGCCCCTGATGCCCGCATCGGCTTGGACAAGAAACGAGCTGAGAAGACAGACCACGCCCCGGCCAGCCTATGGTCGCGGCCTCTCCGTCTGTGGATCCACAGGTCCAGGCCGCGCTGTCGGTCATCATCGCCAGCTTGGCCCAGAACCCCACCGTCCTCAGCGCACTCTTGCCAAGGACCGGGGGGAACGTCACTCCACCTCCTCAGCCCCAACCGTTAGCCGTCCAGATAGGCAACGATGAGGGCGTGATGGCCCAGGACACGGCGTCGTCCCACTTCCACCCCGCTTCCCCTCTTCGGCCTGGGCAGACCCCTGCGCGTGGAAAAGCCTCTGCCTTCAATAGGCTAGGTGACACGCGCCGTCGTCCGGTTTCGGAGAGGATGGCAGGGCGGATTGGTGAGTGTCGGCCTGGCTCGCCAAGGGAAAGCTTGGGGTCTGTGTCCCGGATAGCGGACCAGCCCCGCCCGGACAAGGGCAAGGGGAAGCTGCACGAGGACGACGTGCACCACCAGATCAATGCGGCCCACGACGAGCGCATGAGAAACCAGCAGGGCGCCGCTGCGGCCGCCAGGGACCCCCAGGACGAGGTCATCGTCCAGCTGGAAAGGAGGCTGGCTCAGATGGAGGCCAGGGAATCGGCCAACACCCCCACGGCTGGCGCCTCCAACGACCCCGGCCTCAACGCTCTCATGAACAAGGTCAGCACCCTGGAGAGGGAGTTGGCCGAAGGGCGAGGTGACCCCATCATCCAGGTCAGGACCAGGACCCCTTTCACCAACAGGGTGCTCTCGGCCCCATCCCGGAAAAGTACAGGGGGAACGCCATCAAGTCTTACGATGGCCGATCAGACCCCCAGGAGCACTTCAGCCGCTATCAGAACAACATGCTGATGGTGAACGCGTCGGATGAATATCTCTGCCGTTGATTCCTCTCTACTCTTGAGGGGCCAGCGTACGAGTGGTTCAACGCGCTCCCCGAAGGGAGCATTGACTCATGGCAAGACCTTGCCCAATGCTTCCTCACCCACTTTGCCGGGAGGAAGCGTGCGAAGAAGTATTTCACTCACCTTCTCTCCGTCAAGCAGCAACATGACGAGTCCCTCCTCGCCGATGAGCGACCGAAGAAGTCGAGGGGGCCGATGAGCGCACCCTCCTCGCCCTGTACCAAGGAGCCCTCCGCAGCTCCCCGTACGCAAGGAGCCTCATCAGCGACCCTCCAAGGTCGTACGCCAAAGCGCTCCAGCGTGGAAGCTTGTACGCCGACGCCGACGAGCTCCACAACCACAAGAAGGAGGGAGGCCATCCCTCCAAGAAGACAATTCCTTCGCCGGCCCCGGGTCTATCCCCGGCCGGCCAGGGTGCCCAGGGCTGTCACGGCTCTGGTGGACAAAGTAAGAAAGATCGCCACTGGCGGCCGAGGTTGGAACGGCCGGGGGCTACCCTCACTCACCCGGTCGGCACCATCCTCGACTACGCCGAGAAGCATGGCCTCATCGAGCAGGCTCCTCGGCCGGCTGAGGAGGTCCTTGCCATCCAGCAGGGCGGCACATACTGCCGGTTCCACAAGAACTCCTCGCACAACACCGACGACTGCATCACGCTGAAGAAGGCCATCGAGCGTCTTATTCTTCAGGGGGAACTCTCCCAGTTTGTTAAAGGTGGCCCACGCAAAAATACATGGGTAAACACCGGCAAACCAGGGGGCGGACCCTCTACGAAGAAGCGGGAGATTGGCAGGCTCAGCGACGACGAGGACTTCGAAGAGCCCCCGCCAAAGAAGAATCACATTCACCTCATTGTGGGCGGGAATACTGGGGGGGGGGGGGGGGACTCCGTCACCCAGAGAAAGAAATGGGCCCAATCCCTCTACATAGGGGAAGTGTCCCACGTCCCCCCCCCCCCCCCCCAGCCGAAGAAACAACGAACGGAGGCGATCACCTTCACTGACAAGGATTTGCCTCCGGGTACGGAATCACATAGGGACGCCCTCGTCATCCGGTGTGAGATCGGTGACACCATCATCCACCGCAGTTACATCGATACGGGGAGCTCCGTCAACGTGATGTACCTGGACACCTTCAGGCAGCTGAAGCTGTACAAAGCTCTGCTGAAGCCGATCAAGACACCGTTATCCGGCTTCACCGGGGACTCTATCGACGCCGAGGGCACGATAGTCCTCCCCGTGGAGGTCGGTGACGGCTCCCACCGCGCCAAAATGGACATGGAGTTCATGGTGGTCCACCTCCAGTGCGCCCACAACCTGATCTTAGGGCGACCAGCACTGGAGGACTTGGAGGCCATCATCTCCATGAAGCACTTGTGTCTGAAGTTCCCCACCAATGACGGTATCGGCTACGCCAGAGGGAACCAGAGGATAGCCAGAGCATGCTACCTCAACCTGACGAGGCCGGCCGAGAGGGAAGGTCAGAGGATAGACACCATCACTGAAGCCGTTGCCAAGGAGGAGGAGAGGCCGCATGCTGAACCGGCCGAGGAGGTCGAGGAAATCCCTCTGGATACCTCCCGGCCGGAGCGGGTCCTCAGAATCGGGAAGAAACTCCCACAGGACCAGCGGGACGCCATCCTCCTCGTCCTACGGTCGTACGCCGTTGTCTTCGCGTGGGGCCCGGACGATATTCCAGGCATCGGCCGCCAGGTGATCACTCACCGGCTGACCGTCGATCCGGCCTCCGCGCCTGTCAAGCAGAAGTGGCGCTACTTATCCACCGACAGGCGGGACTTCGTCAAAGGGGAGGTCGCCATGCTCCTCTCAATCAACCACATTAAAGAGGTGAAGTACCCGACGTGGCTAGCCAACGTCGTCCTCGCCCAAAAACCGCCAACATTCAGAATGTGTGTTGATTACACTGACCTGAACAAGGCGTGCCCCATGGACCCATTCCCTCTCCCCAACATTGATCAGCTGGTGGACGAGACGACGGGGTGCGAGTTGATGTCGTTCCTTGACGCTTTCAGAGGGTACCACCAAATCTCCATGCATGAAGTTGACACTGAGAAGACGGCATTCATGACCCCAGAGGGAATCTTTTGTTACCTCGTCATGGCCTTCGGACTCAAAAACTCAGGCGCCACCTATACTAGGATGGTGGCCAAGATCTTCAGAGCAGTCCTCGGCCGGACGATGGAGGCATACGTCGACGACATGATCGTCAAGAGCAGGCAGGCCTGCACCCATGCCGACGACCTCCGGGAAATCTTTGAAATCATGAAGGAGTTCAGGCTCCGCCTCAACCCCAAGAAGTGCGCCTTCGGCGTCCAAGGCGGCAAGTTCCTCGGCTACATGGTCAGCCGGAGAGGCATCGAGATAAACCCGGAGAAGACACAGGCTATCATCAACATGGAGCCGCCCCGCAACGTCAAGGAAGTACAGCGCCTGACGGGGCACCTGGCGGCCCTGAACCGTTTCCTCTCCAGGTCAGCCGAAAGGGCACTCCCCTTCTTTCAGATCATGCGTAAAGCCAACAGCTTCAAGTGGACGACGGAGTGCCAGGAAGCGTTCGAAGAGTTGAAGAGGTATCTATCGTCCCCGCCCGTGCTCTCCAAGCCCAAAGCTGGCGAAACCCTCTTCTTGTACTTAGGGGTGAGCACGTCGGCCATCAGCTCCGTGCTCATCCGTGAGGACGAAGGGTTGCAGAAGGCCATCTTCTACATCAGCAAGACACTCAGGGAGGCCGAACTCAGGTACTCCCCCATTGAGAAGACGGTGCTGGCCATCGTCCATATGGTGAAGAAGCTGGGGCACTACTTCCAGACCCATGCCGTCCACGTGCTGACCCAGCAGTCCCTTGGCGCGCTCATGAGGAGCCCCACTAGCTCCTCAAGGATGGTGAAATGGGCGATCTTCCTCAGTCAATTTCAGATTGAAATCAAGCCAAGGCCATCCATCAAAGGGCAAGATTTGGCCGACTTCGTCACCGAGTGCACGGCAAGGGAGACAGCCGCTACCGCCCCTGGGCTAGAGCCCGATGACACATGGATCCTCTTCACTGACGGCTCGTCGGCCGCGAAATCATGCGGCGGCGGCGGCGTCCTCATATCCCCTGAAGGATTCAGAGCTTACTACGCCATCCGCTTCAACTTCAGGGTATCCAACAATGAAGCCGAGTATGAGGCCCTCCTCAGCGGCCTCAGACTCGCCGCCGGCCTCAGAGCCCGACACATCAAAATCAGGTGCGACTCCAAGCTGGTAGTGGGCCAGGTTAGGGTACGTACGAAACAAAGGAAGGCCGGATGAATCAGTACAAACAACCAGCGGAGGAGCTGCTGAAGGCGTTCGAAACCCACGAGATCACACAGATCCCAAGGGCCGAGAACGCCGAGGCCAATATCCTCTCCAAACTCAGCTCGGACACCCCAGAGCACATCTCCCAGCTAGCCAAGGTCGAGGAGTTGAGCATGTCCAGCATCCATGCCAGCCCCGTCTTATGCGTCCAACAGCGACCGGAGGACTGGATCTCCGACATCATCACCTTCATCACGACGGGGGAGTTGCCCCCGGACGAGGAGAGGGCCAAACTCGCCAAACTCAGGGCCCCAAGCTACACCATTGAAGATGGCAAACTCTACAAACGATCCTATAATGGCACTCTCCTTCGATGCCTGCACCAGGATGAGGCCGACGTGGC